AAATAAATAAAAATACCTTCCTCATTTTCCATCAGGTTTGCTTAGTGTTCTTGTTAATGTACAGATATTTCCACTGTTGACTGTTTTGTATAATTAGATCAACCAAATGTTGATCCCAGCTAATGGGGCTTTTTTCCCTGTTCCTCTCTCCTTGTTAGATGCTTCTGTTCCGCCTGTGATGAATGCCCCTATGCCACCATCAACAAAACCACTGGAGCCAGCTTATTCAGAATCAGGTAAATTCCTTTCTAATTGTTATACATGTAGAGGGAGCAGCAAAGGAAAGTGATAGATAAGACAAATGAACCCTTTTGAGTTGGTTTGTAAAGATTCACTAGTTAACATAGCTGGTAAATCAGCCAGTTGCTCTTCTTGCTAGCAAGGAAGCCTTGTAGTTTCTCTTAATTCTTACGGAGATCTTCAAAAGGTCATGCAAATGCAAAATTGTCATATTCTAAGTCAGGACAGGACAACCTTTGTCTGGGAGTTGCTCTTCACAGTTTCTGATTGGATTCTTTCTTAAACCTGTCTAGAGATCCCTTATTATTATTGCTGCACTTCCATCCAGTTACTGATCAAAATTGCTGTAGATGTGGGTAATGTGATACCATAACCAGGGATCCTGTGTCCTCTAGATGTTATTTAAATAGTTTTATTGTATAAGCCAAGGCACAAAATGTGGCAAATACTACCCTCGGAGTGAACAGGAAACAAAAGATGCCAAACAAAGGCCATCATCCTGCTCACACAAAGACCAAAAACAATGTAAATTCTCGATAATTAGAGATACATTATTTTGAGGAGTGTCAAATTAGCACTTTGAGTCTCCATGACAGTTGATGGCAATTTTATCTATATTTCCCTTTCTGATCTTTCCTTGCAGCCAAAGCAAAAAGGGCCACTTGATATGTTACATATAAAGTCGTTCAGCAAAAAACCGAACCGTTCTACAAAAGAGATCACATTTTTGTTTATCAGCAAGCGTTTCAAATATCTTTGTATACACTATACAAAGTCACTATACTTTTTATAGTGTATAGCATCACTATGCAAAGGGCAGTTTAACATACAGTGCACAGTGTCTTCCACCTGACATTGGCTACAGATGCATAGTTTTCCAATGGCGCATTATGATAGCAACCATCTAACACTGCGGTGGGCATTACTTGGAATTGTAGTTCAGTAAAGGCAATGCTTTAGGAAGATAATAATAATGAGTACAGGTGTTCCCAGTGGTCATCGGCACTCTTGGTGCCGTGCCAACAGATCTTAGCCGGCATTGGAAACAATAAACATTGACAAAATCACGATCTGTCAACTGCAAAAGGCCACCTTACTTGGATCTGCGCACATCATTCGAAAATACATCACACAGTCTTAGACGCTTGGGAAGTGTTCAACTTGTGATTTTGTGATACAAAATCCAGCATATAGATCTCGTTTGCTGTGACATACTGTGTTTTGTGTCAGTAAAACAACAACAACAACTTTATTTCTAGACCATCCTCTCTTCCTAAGTGACTCAGGGCGGTTTACACACGCAAAAAAGGCAAACATTTAATGCCTCAGATGAATACTAGCACGTCAAAAAATAATCCATGGTAAAGCACAGTAATAACAGGGAACTCACAACGAAGAATTAACCTTCGAAATAAAAATATATATAAAAGAACAATCCAATAAGACATAGTAGACTAAAACATGAGTAAGCATTGCAACATATACAATAAAAGGAATTAAGAACACTGGCTAGCGCCTCTCTCAGAAGTTTTCCAAAATGTAAGCATCATACTAAAGAGTCTTGATCCACTATTTTCCAAAGAAAGCTATTCTTCATGTAAGATATATTAAGATATTAAATATTAAGATATTCAAGATCTCGTATATCTTGGCAGCCATCTAATACAAGTGGGATTAGCCTAAAATCACGTACATTTAATCAGATATCTTGCTCTAAATGTTCAGTTTTCAAAAAGGGAAATCATGGGGAGAATTTTAAGTTTCTGGTTGATTGCAGATTCCTTTTTGAGTTAATCCAAAATAGCCAGTCTTTTAATTGGTCCCATAGCGTAGGCAGAATTCAACTCGGAGAGGTTGTAGCTGTGTAGGAGATTTTCTAGGCTTCATTTCTGATGTTGATGGTTACTTACTGTATTTCCAAGTGACACAGTGCTAGAAGATGGTTGTTTGGTAGAGTGGCAATCTGTTTCAGTTACCTTAACTGGGCACAATCTACTTTTGTTTTGACTGGCGGTCATCCAGATTTGGTACACAGAATTGCTGTGGGAGTTCCAGTGGGGAGAGAATAAAGTTTTTGGAGGAGCTTGTTCTGCAATATTTCCAAGGCTTTATAAGTGTTAGTATCTTAAGATGCAGATTTCTGCACCATAAAGCATCTGCGCCAACACTTTTAGAGCAGGTTCAATCAGCTAACCACCCTGAATGTAGTAAAATTTCATCAGAACTCATATTTTTTTCTCACTGCTTCCCTTTGACACAGGAAAGAGATTCACTAAAAACATTTCCCAGATACTTGAATAGATGGATTTGTTCTATGGCATGTTGACCTAAAGTCCATTTCTACCTTAGGCAGTGCCTGTTTGTTTGGACAAAACAAATAGCGTTTTTTTTTTGTTCTTCATTGATTCTTTTAGGGTCAAATTGTTCTTTGTAGAATGTTAGCTCACCTAAGAACATGTCAGTTCACTAGGAAATGAAAGAGGAAATGCTGGACAAACTCAAAAATAATTACAGGATCTAAAAAAAAGATGTGGTAGTTTATGAATATTTCTTTATTTAGCTCTGTTTGTTAAAAATTGCATAGGGAAGTATTTTGCTCACTTGTCTGACTCGCGTAGTAGTCGTTCACCTACAAACTCTGAAAGTTTTTCTGTAGATTTTCAGAAAGAGCACTAAACCCTCTCTGGAGCACCAAAGATGGCAATTTAAGTGTGGCAACGATATGTGCTTCCATTCTGCTGCTTCTTTTTCTTCCTCATCAAGGCAGCCAAGAGCTTTGCTAACTCCAGAAGAACTTTGTGTGGATTGAGAGCAGATTGTTTTAGTCTGTGCAAGCTTTGGTAGAATAAATAAAGGCCACCTCATTATCTGTCAAATAACACTGATTATCCTTAAATGCTATTAGAAGAAATAATGCAGGAAGGCCCAGTGCACTAGCCACAGTAGCCCATAATTTGCTGTGTATGTGATGAGAACTACCAACTCTTGTGGTTGAAGCTTTTCCTGCCACATATGGAGCAGGAGGCTCAAATCAAGATAGATGACATGGATGCAAATAGATTTCTCTGTTGCCGATGGGAGTTCTTGTTCAGTGGAGAAAGAGTTATCTCTTTCAATTGGGTCTAACAAGAAAGAAGAATGATGACGTGTACTGCAATTACAATGGGAAATGAACTATGGCTGATATTTTCTGAGAATTGACATCCTGCTTGTCACAACATAAAATCTTCCCACTGATGGAGAGTGAATGTACTTATCATATCTTTGGGGATGTCAGGCCACTTTCCTCTATTAGTACATCTTCCAAGACTCACCACAACATTGGCTTTCTCTGAACCATTCTGCATTGGCTCTATTTCAGTCCTGTCTGCGGAAAGTACCTCCAGCTCTACTACTTCGCTTGACACTAGTTTTTCTGCTGGCCACACAAATGCTCAGCCTGAGAAACCGACAGCAACAAAATCAGGTAAGGTTGTTGTTGTTGTTGTTAACACATTAATATACTGTACTCAGTTTATGGCTTCGGTCCAGGCTATTTGACAGACCAACTTGGATACTGCGGTCATCGGAGGAGGCCCTCCTCTCGGTCCCACTCCATCCCAAGCACGGCTGGTGGGAATGAGAGAAAGGGCCTTCTCCATGGCTGCCCCCCACCTCTGGAATTCCCCTCCTAAGGAGTTAAAGATGGCCCCCTTCCTCCCCGCTTTCAGAAAACAGCTGAAGGCATACCTTTGCTCACTGGCCTGTAAGAAGGAGGAATAGTAGTTGGTAATACTACCATTATACCTCTGATTAATAGTTGTCATCCGTATCTGTACCCTGCTCACCCCACCAGCTCAATAGATATCTTGAGCAATGATTGATCGATTTGCCCCACAGAAATGGGAAATTATTGTTTCTATTTGATGTTTGATGTTTTGTCTTATGTCTGTTATGACAGGCTGTGCTTTTTATTTAATTTTAGTTTGTTAAGTTATAATTTGTATTTATATGTTGGGTTGTATAAATTTTGTTAGTATGGATGTATTGTTGTTGTATTCGGGCATTGAATGTTTGCCTTTTATGTTGGAATCCGTCTGAGTCCCCTCGGGGAGATAGGGCGGAATACAAATAAAGTGTTGTTGTTGTGGTTATTATTATTATTATTATTATTATTATTATTATTATTATTATTATTATTATTACATGTACTTCTTGCTAAGTCAGAAGAGCACCAAACTTTCTTGTGACTTTCCACCTTCAGAAGAAAGAAAGAGCTTTGCTGAAATAGGGGAATTTGCCCCCCCCCCCCCCTATGTTTTGGGCTTCTGGAAAAGATCGTCCAAAGAGTAATCATAAGCCTCATTTCATGAGTGTCCTATGTAGCTCTGAATAAGGGTCTACCTTTCACTCATTATGTTGGGATCCTTTTATTCTTCACTAGAGAAAGCTCACTGATTCTGATACTTTTATGTGAGATTGGTGACCATTTTTGCAGGAATCCTTTTTTTTCATTTTTCCCATTGTCTCTTTGCCTTCTACCAGTGTGAGTGTGCCGAACCATGTGAAAGAACCTACAAACCAGGCCCTAGGTATAGCAGTAGCGCAGTAGCGTCTGTCTACACACATAGTGTGTCTGCAGATTTTCAGAAAGAACTCTAAACCGGGTTGTGGCGCAGCCGGTTGGGTGTCAGCTGCATTAAAATTACTACTGACCGAAAGGTCATGAGTTCGGAACCAGCCCGGGTCAGAGTAAGCTCCCAACAATTTGTCTAGCTTGCTGTCGACCTTTGCAGCCCAAAATACAGTTGCATCTGTCAAGTAGGAAATTTAGGTACCGCTTACACGGGCAGGCTAATTTAACTAATTTACAACGCCATAAAAATCTCCAGCAGCATGCAAAAGAATGAGGAAGTACTCCATCATTATCACAAGTAGACGGTGAAGCAACAGCTCCCCCAGTGACCGAAATTCGAAGCATACCCTCATTAAGCTGGAAAGTTCAATAGCCTCTGTGTGTCTTGTCTATATATGTTGTGTGTCTGTGGCATTGAATGTTTGCCATGTATATATGCATTGTGATCTGCCCTGAGTCCCCTTCGGGGTGAGAAGGGTGGAATATAAATGCTATAAACAAATAAGTAAATAGATAAATAAACTTTGGTGCACCAAAGATGGCAATTTAAGTGTGCCAGTGATATGTGCTTCTATTCTGCTGCCTCTTTTTCTTTCTCATCAAGGCAGCCAACAGCTTTGCTAACTCCAAAAGAACTTTCCATGGGTTAAGAGCAGCTTTTGCTGTTGCTTCAGATTCTGAGGTCAACCCTTCATTTTTTTTACATTCAAGTTCTTGGAGAAGTGGAATATAGGTTGAACATCCCTTATCCAGATTCTAAATACAATACCTAAATACTTCAAAACGCAAAATTATTCACATGGGTGGCTGAGTTAGTGGTGCCTTTGTTTTTTGATAGTTCAATATACACAAACCTTGTTTCATGGACAAAATTATTTTAAAAATTGTGTATAAAATTACCTCCAGGCTAAGTGTGTAAGGTGCATTTGATGTTCATGCTTTGAATTGGGTCCCATTTCCAAGATATCTCATTATATACAGGTACCCCAAAGAACCCAAAGAATCCAAAATACTTCTAGTCCCATGCATGAATGTAGAAATTTCTGCTTTCAAATTATATGGCCAATTGTTGATTTATTGCATGGCCAGAGTTTAGAAATGTCAATTTCTTTGGAGGCCAATTCTCTGAACTTTCCAGGTAGATTCTGGGAGTTAATTATTAAGCATGTTTTATCTTGTTGCTCTGCAAAAAGGTGCATAGAGTCCTTTGTAAAAACAATATGTCAATGAAAGATAGTTCTGCCCTTTGACTTATGGTATAAAAAGTCAGGAGCAAAAGGAAAAAGAGGAGGAATAGAAAAAGAAAAATAGCCTCGTGAACTTTCATCAGGTCTGGTTTAGTGCTACAGCTCTGGTTAAGGTTAGTGGCAATCAGCTATAGCGTGTCTTTGATTTATCTGTATTTATGCCATTAATGGATTATGAAGCATAATGGTTGGAGTTTTGTACTGGAATTGTGTTTGTTGAAGTCCAAAACACCTGGAGGGCCAAAGTTTGCCTATGGTTGGATTAATTTAATGTTGTCAGCCCTGATTGTAGAAACCCAAGAGAAAACTGAGTTTCATGGTTTAGGCTTTCAGGTTAGGCCTTGCTGGTGGCACAGCAGGTTAAACCACTGAGCTGCTGAACTTGCTGACCGAAAGGTTGGCGGTTTGAATCCGGGGAGGTGGGGTGAGCTCCTGCTGTTAGCCCCAGCTTCTTCCAACCCAGCAGTTCGAAAACATTCAGATGTGAGTAGATCAATAGGCACTGCTTCGGTGGGATGGTAACAGTAATCCATGCAGTCATGCCAGCCATATGACCTTGGAGGTGTCTGTGGACAATGCCGGCTCTTCGGCTTAGAAATTGAGATAAACACCGCCCCCTGGAGTCAGACACTACTAGACTTAATGTCAGGGGAAACCTTTACCTTTTACTTTCAGGTTATTGGAGGGAAATGACCTTTTGGTATGAGGGATATCAGCATTGTTTTCAATTGGAGGCCAAAAATCCCTGTGTGAATTTGGTCGCTGCCAAGTTTTTGTTCGAGGCGTTCATGATTAGAGAACAATTCAACTTCTATATGGGGGAAAGTGTCTGAAATAAACTTTGCCTGTATGATTTCACCAATTGTTCCTTGTGTTCTTAATCTTTCTAATATGTTGTGTTCTCTGTTGTGAATTTGAACTTGTGCGATCTCTGGACTGTAATAAAGAATTGTCTATTTATGTAGTACAAACCATCTCATAGATGGGATTGTTGGTTAAATCCAGCAATGGGTTAAATCCTTGTGCCGGCAGGATTGCTGATCGAGAGGTCAGTGGTTCGAATCCAGGGAGAACAGGTTGAGCTCCCTCTGTCAGCAACAGCTCCCCATGTGGGGACATGAGAGAAGCCTCCCATAAGGATAGTAAATAATATCAAACATCCAGATGTCCTCTAGGCAACATCCTTGCAGATGGCCAGTTCTCTCACACCGAAAGTGACTTGCAGTTTCTCATGTTGCTCCTGACTCTCTCTATTTCTCTCTAAATGTAATGTTCATTTGTGGGATTAACATAACTCAAAAACCACAGGATGAATTGACATCAAATTTGGACACAATACACCTATCAGGCCAACGAGTGACCATCACTCATAAAAACACTGAAAAAAACAACAAAAGGGACTTAAAAAGCCCAAAAAATAAAAAATACATTACAACACATGCACAAAACCACATATATACACATGTACACAAATATATATACACATACACACACAAAACACATATACACAAACTGGGCCACAGCAACGCATGGCAGGGGACAGCTAGTATAAATATATATATATACTCATTGTCTCTTTTCTTGGGGGTTTTGGCCAGAAGATGGACCAATTCGTAAATGTCCCCTAGCGGCTGACTTTACAGTAATGGTGTGCTCTCTTTCCCTAGGCACTGGAAATGTCCCTAAGCCTTCTGTTACACCCCATGATTTTTCCGCAAGCAAATCGCAGTCCCAGAACCTGTCTTTCCTAGATTCTTCCGTACCACAGGAAATCAAGGACATGATCCATTCCAGCACGCATATCCAACTTCCATCCTTTCATGAGGTCCGTAGTGCTTCACCAGCCAAGCCTAAGAATCCCTGCCAGTCTGTTTCCAATGGTCCACGCCAGAAACTAAATGTATGCCAGGTTGATGGACCACCACCGCCGGAAGAAGTGCCTTGTCAGTTGAATAGGCAGCTATCTAGCAAATCCAACATGACTAAAGAAGAACCTTCAAAGGACCAGGATGACTTGAAGCAGCAAGTAGCCCACATCCTGGCCATGCATCCAGAGGGCATGTCACTCTTCCAGTTCCGTGCAGCCTATAGTGCCGCCTATCAGCGGCACTTCCCAATGGGCAACGCTGCTTCTGCCAAACAACGTTTGCAGGAAATGCCGGATGTTGTTTGTATGAAAAGCTTTGGCGCCCAAACAAGACTTGTACCTGTATCCAGTGCAATGTCACCTCCTAAATCTGGTAGGTTAGGTGGTATATAGTCTTTTGTTCTGTTTATATCTTGGAATGTTTTCCCAATTTTCAAAAGAACCAGCTTATTTCCTATGAACAGGGAAAAGTAAAAGGGGTACATAACCCAAGACAAAGATAACTTCTCCTCATCTAAATGTTTACCTTTCTAGTTTCATCTATTTTTCAATAAGAAAATCAATAGCCATGTAATCCACATGTTTTTAAAAGGGCAGGAGTTAGACAGTGTACTCAAATGTTACAAAAGTAGTGTCAAGGTGGCATAACCTGAGCGTGAGGGGTTATTGCTCAGTGGGGTGATCCATTGGAGACTTAGTCTGTGAAAGCTTATGCTACCAACTTCTCTCAATTAGTTTCTAAGGTGCTACAAAATCCCTTTGCATATTGGTATTCCAGACTAACACAGTTATGTCTTTGAATTCTGTGCAACTTGTTTCAATGTTATGTCTCCTCAAGTATCAAAAACATTTCCAGTTCTCTGTCTTCTGAGCCTAATTTTCTGTCTTTGCAGGTCAGCCTGTCTCTTCCACAATGAAAAAAGCTTCTGTTGTCCCTGGTCTCTCACAGCACAGAACAGTTTCACTGACTCAAGAGGTAACCATTTTCAAGCTTTCTCCCTCTTCCTTAGGCTCCTGTGGCATCCCCTACGTTTCTTAACCTGGGGGTTGGGACCCCTGGAGGGGGTCATGAGGGGGTGTCAGAGGAGTTGCCAAAGACCATCAGAAAACATAGTATTTTCTTTTGGTCATGGGGGTCCTGTGTGGGAAGTTTGGCCCAATTGTATCATTGTTGGGGTTCTGAATGTTTTTTGATTGTTGGTGAGCTATAAATCCCAGTAACTACAATTCCCAAATGTCAAGGTCTATTTTCCCCAGACTCCACCAGTGTTCACAATTGGGCATATTGAATATCTGTGCAAGTTTGGTCCGTAGCCATCATTGTTTGAACTCACAGTGTTCTCTGGAAACAGGTGAACTACAACTCCAAAACTCAAGGTCAATGCCCACCAAACCCAGTATTTTCTGTTGGTTGTGGGAGTTCTGTGTGCCAAGTTTAGTTCAACTCTATCCTTGGTGGAGTTCAGAATGCTCTTTGATTGTAGGTTAACTATAAATCCCAGCAGCCACAACTCCCAAATGACAAAATCAACCTCACCAGGATTAAAATTCGGACATATTGGGTATTTGTGCCTAATTTGGTCCAGTGAATGAAAATACATCCTGCATATCAGATATTTATATTACAATTCATAACAGTAGCAAAATCACAGTTATTAAGTAGTAACGAAAATAATGTTATGGTTGGGGGTCACCAAAACATGAGGAACTGTATTAAGGGGTCACAGCATTAGGAAGGTTGAGAACCACTGCCTTACCCCGTTTGCCTCCCAAATTCAGGCCATTCTCAAGAAACACGGATAATGGTGTTCTCAAAGCACAACCATCAGGAATACACAAAACCCCCTGCAAATCGTTTGCAAGAGCACAAGAAAGCCAAAGCTAACTTGGTGGATCTTTCAGGTCAAGTTGATTTATCTAAAATTGAAGAAGTGACTCATTTTTGGCCGTGCCCTGCATAAAGCTGGCTCTACAACAGCTTCCGAATCTTGCCTTAAGCCTCTATTTCCCAAAGCTTCTGTACTGCTCATACTTCAGTTCTCTCTCTCTCTTTTCTAGAATTCTGAAGAACTTGGAGATGACAACAAGGAGGACTACCCATTCCTTACTCCTTTGCTTCAACAAGTAGCTAAACCAAGAGCTCCTGTGCAAGAGGAAGTGAAGAAGAACCCCAAGCCAATGAGAACTCCGGTCATTCTTCAGTCCCCTGTAGTCTGTCATACATACGCCCAAGTCACAGCTTCATGTAAACCTTTGAAACCAAATAGTCTTCACTCCAAGCCGATGCATCTGAATAGCCCTTGTGTTTCTGCCAGTAATGCCTCAGTGCCTTCACACCCAAGTGATCCTTGTTTTTCTGCCAATAGTACCTTAGTGCCTTCGCATCCCAATGATGCTTGTTTTTCTGCCAGTAGTGTCTCAGTATCTTCCCATCCAAATGATCCTTGTAATTCTTCCAATAGGGCCTCAGCGCCTTTACATCCAAATGATCCTTGTTTTTCTGCCAGTAGTGTCTCAGTATCTTCCCATCCAAATGATCCTTGTATTTCTTCCAGTAGGGCCTCAGTGCCTTCACATCCAAATGATCCTTGTTTTTCTGCCAGTAGTGTCTCAGTATCTTCCCATCCAAATGATCCTTTTATTTCTTCCAATAGGGCCTCAGTGCCTTCCCATCCAAATAATTCTTGTATTTCCCCCAATAGGGCCTCAGTGCCTTTACATCCAAATGATCCTTGTATTTCTGCCAACAGTTCCTCAGTTCCTTTCACCTCTCATCCAGCCTCTTACAATTTTGGAACATGGGCACAGCCGGTGCCATTTGTTCCCCAGATGCCATTTGTTCCCCAGATGCCAGGGATTTCCCCAGTCAAGCCTGCCTACACCCAAGTTTCTGGATATCCTTCCAGGATCCAGTTTCAAAACCCTACAGTGCAAAGCTCACCTTTTGGTCAGCCACCCCATGTGCTCCCCATTAATTGTCATCCGACAATGTTTCTCACCCAAAGCGCAGAACAGTGGACCAACATTCACACTCTCCCACAAGTGGCTGCCTATTCTCGAGTGCAGACATCATCCAATGTTCTTCAGATTGCCCCAAACCCTACAGTTCCAACAGGGATATATCCTGTATCTCCATCTTCTAGAAACATGCCCCAGAGTGTCCAGCAGCTAGAATGTTATAAACATACACAGCAGGATGGTCTGCAGCGCAGTTCGGTTGTGGTAACGAAGAAAAGCTTCACAGTAACATCTCTGGGCACAGAGCCTAAGCCTTCAGCATCTCCTAATCAGAGACAATACATTGATTGGAATCCTCTGGTATCTACTACAGACACAGCGCCGTTCATTTCACATGGTTGTTGGTCCACTAGCCAGTCCTTTCAGACTTTGGAAACTTCCTCTAGTAGCAAAAGCAATCCTAGTGCTCTGCTTTTTGAACCTCCAGTTTTCAAGGATCAGCAACAATCTGTTAGTGCAAGTGCTACCATAACAACCTCATCGCATTCACCACCTTCACTTGTAGATGCAACTGTAAGCCCATATAACAACCACTTGTCTCTCTCCAACAGTAGCAAAAATTCTGCTGCTCAACCTTCAGAGCCTCGGGCTTCCATTAATCAGCAACAATATGCTAAACTGAACACCTCTGTAATCACCTCCAGTAGAAAACAAGCAGATTCATTGCCTTGCCCTCAAGACCTCCCCATCAGATCATCCCGCCAACTCTCCATTACACCTTTAAGTGTTTGTACAGATAATGAGCCTCCTGCCCAAGCTAACCCTGTGGTTTCATTTTCCAAACATGATGACCATCATCATTTTTCTTTGCCAAAAACTCAGACCTCTTATTCTCCCCCAAATAGCCCTCTAAAAAAACCTGATAGGTGTGTTATCCTGTAATAGCAAACATTAAGGAGATAGGCATTTTCTGGGATGATGTAATGCTGGATGAGTGCATTCAGAATTTCTAAGATTGTCTCCATCCAATTCTGGGATGTGCTAGGTGAGGTGTGTGGTGTCTGCTTGTTCTTGGATATTTCAGTCCATTTAGTAGACACTGCATCGTTGGCTTCTGTAACCTCATGATAGTAATGCAGTATAATGGTGGGAATTTTGAACTGGAATTTGGGATAAAAAGTATTTTGTTTCCACTTGAAAGGCACTAAGTGACCTTGGTCCAACTGTGAGAAAAATGTGTGCTTGAGGAAATCCATACACACCACGTTAGGTAATATCAGAAGAAAAGTGGATTATGAATGTACTTAACATTGCTTCCACAGTTCCGCTGTTGAGGATTATGGGAGTTTTGGTCCAGGGTGCCTGGAGGTCTGAGGTTTGCCCTTGACTGCCAAAAGTTGACCACAGAGTCATGATGAAGGACTTAAAGATTCCTAGACAGAACAGCTTTCTAGGAGTCCATCAGACTATAGAGTTGTACTTGGATGACTTCTAGATTCATAGAGAGGTGTTTCCCACATGTTTAAATAGTGATCGGTATGGTGTTTTGTTTGCAGAGTGTCAGATCAGGAAGGGAGAGACTCATCTTTAAATCTCCATTTGCCTATGAAGTTCACTAAGATCTTTGGACAGGTAGTTCCTCCCAACTTCACTTAGTCAGTGTGGTCGGTGCAAGATGATGGTGGTTGTGGTAAGCATCATAGTTGTAATACTACTGGAGGAGATATGTTTCCCCAGCTTCTAGAAATGAAAGTCCATTCCTCACCTGTAGTTGAAAGTAGCACATTCTTTTCTATTTACTTATTTCCCTTTATTTGTTGGATATGTGGGTAGCCTTACGTTCATTTTTCCAAAGGACACTGATAAAACTATGGTCAGAAAGGTAATTTTTCATTTATGGTGGAGCTTTGAAAAATAAGCTTTTTGAAAAGAATATATATATATGAATTGCCCTGGGTGTATCTTAATTAAATAATTTTCAGGGAATCCCATTGCTGTGGGAATGATGATGTGGAACATATAACAGCTGAGGTTTTTGTGTATGGATAGGTATCATTTAATGGGAAAACAACTCCATCAGACTTAGGGATGAGAGTAGTTTGAATGGTTACTCCATGATCATTTCCCAATTGGTTCTTTCACTGGCAGAAGAACCTTGTCAATAGATCTCAGAGGAGGTATTTATAACCATATCCTGAGATTCCTGTACATCCACAACAGGACATTATAATGCCTCAATGCTCTGTACTTTGATGGGTTTTCCAAACTTACATCATACATATTGAGGATTCACAGGGACTACATGGAAAGGGGAAATCCACTTCCACGCTTTACTAATAGATTTCCATCAGTGCCAGAGGTATACATCAAACAGCTACATCTTGTGGGGGCCATCCAGGCCTTGGCAACTTTCTAGTAATTTTTGTTTTTATTACCATCAGTCTTTGCCTTCCACCTGCATTTTGGTTATGATTGGTAAATGATGATGGAACGTTTTTAATATGCTAACTTCTAATTGTTTTATCACATTTATCATTTTTTTAATTAATTACAGATATATTTGTATATAGTGCAAAATAAATTATAATAAATGACCGGTCTTTTATGGATGACTTTGCTTTTTGTTTTTCTTTCTGTTACATGGTTCTCTGTTTTGTGAAAATTGTTTGGTGGTCAAGCACATTCTTGTTTCATATTTCCTTCATCCAGATTTCCATTCATTGTCCTGAAATAGCTTACAAATATAAGTTTGGTGGAAACTCTGGAGTATCCCAAGACTTCAGGTCAGTCTGGACAGTGGAATTGAGTCTGATTTGGGCCAATCCACTGTCCAGATGAACATTGCTGCTACCACCTTTTCTCTGCACTTCTCTTGCCCGTGTCCCTATCATCCTTGTTGCTCCATTCTAACATCAACAGTGGTGCCCAGGAGCTTTCATGGAACTCTGTGACCAGCTAGGAGCGATGGTGGAGGCAACATGGAGTAAATGACAGTCCAGCAATTCTCTGGCGGGTCCTAAGGGTCGATTGGACAAATCTACCCAGTATAGATTGATGTGCTCTTAGAGACAGATGAGTCAGGAATCTAGAAGAAAAATCCATTCGGTCTTGCAGAACACTAGAGAGATGGCAGAAATCATCTGGATCTACCCAAGTTCAGTGATGGCCAATGCTACCTGAAGCATGTTCAATTTCAGTATTAACAGAGTATGGCAGAACCAGATACAAGCTGAAATAACAGTGAATCTTTACGGATGTGTGCAATCTGCCCTTTTAATAAAAGGTGTTTTTTCTTATTTGAATCATGGTCTTAGATAGTTATAGTGTCAGGGAGTCTTTGAAGTTTGTCCCTTGGGAATGAAGATGACGGCCAGGGTCCCTCCAGCTAATTCCCAAGCCAGATAACTATCAGAATCTTTGTGAGTGTATCTAGATTGATGATCCTCTTTGTAAACACAATAAGCTCAGGATGTTTGGTCATTCAATTATACTGTGTTTCAAGTATGTCTCCTAATTTTGCATATACTCAGTTCCTGACCATGCTTACTCACAGACAATGCACTAAGACATGTAGTTTGTTTCCACCTATTTTAGCCTAAATTAATATGCTCAAAATGTGAACTAAGAACTTACTTGCTTTTCAGATTTCTTTGGATTCACATTAAAAGTGTGCAACATAATGTGGAAACAGATTTAAGAATTTCCTTATAAATAAACACAAGGCATTGCAGAAAGACATCAACTCTCTGCATGCTAGAACTCATTCTTTCCTTGCTATGCCCTTGTTAACTTATGTAGTCTTTCTAAGGCATATTTTGTTCTGAAATTGTGCACTGATTTGATTATATTGCATTATTAAATGTGTCCGTTGCAATGGCTCTGACTTTGTGCCTCCCATATTTGGTATCCAGCTCTGTCAGATAGACCACATCAGCTCTAGATGTTTATGGCTTTCTGTGGGCGAGCAGGTGGCGGCTACTGAATGACATATGTTCTGTATCAGAAACTAGAGCTTATGTAGTCTATCCAATGCAATTTTATGAATCAGCACCCCAAATAACCAAACAATATAAAGTTGACCAAAAACTGATTCGTCTTAACCTTTTGGTACTAATGTTGGAGAGTGGTCCCTGGTCAAAGTGGTCCTTGTAAAAAAAAAAAAAAGGTTGGGAACCACTGCTTTAGTCATTTGCTAAGATGTCACAGAAAAAAATGTTTGTTTCCTGTCCCTTAAACATCCAAGGAAAATTAATTGAGGCAATAAAACAAAATGTTCACATGTCAATATTTCAATACTTTATTCTCATTTCCTACAAATTATGCAAATTCATGCTCTCTCAAAACAAAAAGCTATTCCACATTTAGGTCTAGAAGCAAAAGTGAAATATGTAGGCTTTTGCACTATTAGTCCCAGTTGGGGGAAACAAACCGAATAGGTGAATAGTGAGTCAACCACCAGACAGATGATGCCATGCCAGGTGACAGCCATATTGAGGAAAAAAAACAGGAAAAACTCAGCCGCTATCAAGACCTCAAAATCGAACTGCAAAGGCTCTGGCATAAACCAGTACAGGTGGTCCCAGTGGTCATTGGCACACTAGGTGCCGTGCCAAAAGATCTCAGCTGGCATTTGGAAACAATAAACATCGACAAAATCACGATCTGTCAACTGCAAAAGGCCACCTTACTTGGATCTGCACGCATCATTTGAAAATACATCACACAGTCCTAGATGCTTGGGAAGTGTTCGACTTGTGATTTTTTTACACGAAATCCAGCATATAGATCTCGTTTGCTGTGACATACTGTGCTTTTGTGTCAGTATATTATTATTATTATTATTATTATTATTATTATTATTATTATTCACTTGTGTCTTAAATTCTGACAGCTGACTTTGCTGTCGGAGCTCTAGTGGCCATTAACTTAATGATCCTACAGCTGGCAGGAGTGGAAGGATGCTTTTAGACAATAGAGAGTAAAAGTCAAAACATGTAGGTGTAAAGTTCAAATCACTGACTATAATTTCTTTTGCTGATCTTTTGAAATAAATAAAGGAAAAGTTCAGGACAGAGGAAAGTGATCACCTTTGCATATTATCCTTAAAATTAATGTCTTTTCTCTGTCAGCAATTTCTTTGAATTCATGTCAGCTCTTATAATAATAATATAACATTTGGGAAAAAAGATGCAAGCCAAGAGACCAGTATTGGAGGCCAATATGGCAAAAACCTCCACAGCAACTATGTATTTTCCCTTGGTGCTCATGTAACTTGGAATAAACAGGATCCAAACACTGCAAAAAACCAGCATGCTGAAGGTGATCAGCTTGGATTCATTGAAAGTATCAGGCAATTTTCTGGCCAAAAAAGCCACAGTGAAGCTAATGATGGCTAGGAGCCCCATGTAGCCTAGAAGGCAATAGAACATGGTGAGAGACCCTTCATTGCATTGAATGACAATTTTCCCCGATTCTGAGTGCATGTCAGCATTTGGGAATGGAGGAGAGGTTGAGAGCCATGCTGCACAGATACACACTTGAGTGAGGGAGCAGGAAACCACAATGGCAATGGCCACTTTTTGCCCTAGCCATTTTCTCACCCTATTGCCTGGTTGTGTGGCTAGGAAAGCCAAGACCACAATGATGGTTTTTGCCAACACACAAGAAACCGCAACAGTGAAGATGATGCCAAATGTCATTTGCTGAAGAAGACAGGTGACCTTGCCTGGTTTGCCTATGAAGAGGATGGCAGAAAGGTAGCAGAGGAGGATGGAGATGAGCAGAACGCAGGTGAGGCTCCTGTTGTTGGCTTTGACTATGGAAGTATTCCAGCTCTTCAGAAAAGTTTGTACCACTAAGCATGTAATCACAAAAAGGAAAATACTCAGGAAAAGCAAAATAATTCCCAAGGGCTCTTGAAAAGATAGGAAAACTATAACCTTTGGGATACACTGATGTCTTTTTTTGTTTGAATATTGATCTTCAAGGCATTTGACACATTCATTTGCGTCTGAAACATATAAAGCACTAACATTATTTCTGATCAATCGTATTGGGATCTTAGCTTTATGACAGAACTAAGGAGCAAAAGGAGGAGAGGATTAAAATGTCTAGTATTTCATGTTTGCATAAACAGAATTTTTAGCATTTGAGTGTCCCTATTACCTTCCCTATGACCCTATCACTTAAAATTTGGGTGGGAACAATTGTGGGTAACTTCATTGGGTCCAAGAATAATTTTTGCTCTTCTTCAAACTTCAGTAAGCCATGCAGACTCCATGATGCCTCTAAGTATTTGAAATAGATTTATTTATAAAAATACACCTATAATGGAAAACAAGTACAAATGGATTTGGTGAGAACTCCCTTACATATGGCATTACCTCTTGTACCAACTTTGCATTATTTCAGTGGATTGAGATGTTGCCTCCATAATTCATGATTTCATAACTTCTAAACCAGACCACAATAATAAATGCCACTTAGTTATTCCACTAACCTATACTCTATACTTACATGCAAATGCATTGACAATTGGAATGAAGTCTTTTGTTAGCAGAGACACATACCTGTCTGGTTAGAAATCATGTCTTTTGGGCATAGAATGCAATCATAGCAACAGAATGATTTTCCCTCCTGAACTGCCTTGCTGTATCCAAGTTGGCAACTCTTGGTGCACATGGAATGGGGTGGTAGCTATTTATAAAGGAAATATGTAGCATTCACCTTTTGATTCCATTCAATAAAGCCAGTTATATGTGACAGCTATAAATGTACACTGAAATCTATAGAAAATAAAAAGCATGGAGAGATATCTCTGATAGTAGAGTCCTCTACAGGTTTACCTAAATCTCAACGAATTAAGTAACACTGCCTCTCAAGTACATTAAATACTTGATCTTGCAGCCTGAGTTTCATTACTTCATGCTGTGATCTATGAATATTAGTTACTCAAGTTTGTTGTAAAAATGAGGAGGATATTAGATTGTAATGGGAAAGGGCCTGGCCTTTCTTAATAATAATAATAATAATAATAATAATAATAATAATAATAATAATACTTTATTTATACCCCGCTCCATCTCCCCCAAAGGGACTCGGTGCTGCTTACATGAGGCCATGCCCATCAGTACAATGCACACAATATAACACAAAAACATAACTAAACCAGAAAATAAAATACATAAAATAGAAAACCAATATAATAAATGACACAACAATATAAAATCAACTATTAAAACACAAAAGATTTTCACTGGGCAGTGCCAAATTCAAAGATATTTTTTTTAAATGCTGGGAGATAGGACAATGTAACTAACTGGGGAGGAGGATCCAGGGATAAGGAAGGATTTAATTGCACGAACCATAAAATAAAGTGCTTCTGAGGTCAATTTGTGCAAAGTTGGTCAGGGAGTATCTTACATTCAATCATTGAAGGCACTTTGGAATAACCAGGTTTTCAGATTCCTCCTGAAGATTGCCAGCGTGGGGGCCTGCCTAATATCCCCGTTCACAGCATCTCTTGCTCTGATAACACCCAGGAAGGAGGGAAGAGAAAGGCTGATCTCTCACATTACTTTCTTCTTTCTCCACTCTCTATCTGGATCTACACTGCCATATAATCCAGTTTCTGAATCCAGATTATCTGCTTTGAATTGGTTTATATGAGTCAACATTGCCATATAATACAAATAATCAGATAATCTACTGGAAACTGTACTATATGGCAGTGTAGATGGGACCTCCATCTCTTTGCTGTCCCTTTGTCAGCATGAGGGCAACACAACTTTAGGAAAGAGCTCATTGCATGAATAAGAAAATCTAGAACTTTCCTAAAGAATTATTATGTGAGCATGGACTCACTGTTAATGTGGAGATCCAAGCCACATGTATATGCATTTCAAAAAATATTTGAAATTACTGAAGATTTGGAATAGTTGCCAAATTTTAGATTTAATTTCAGATCTCTTTCTATGTTTTTCCCAATCTTTTCCTCAGCTGGTTCCTTATGGTGTTTGTAAAGCACAATATCTGAAAAGCACTTAGAAGCAAATTCATCACAATGGCTATTTTTACTTCTTCATCTGTTTTATTCCCCCCCCCCCCCGAAAACCTTTATCTCATTTTAAAATCTGTCTTGGTTGCATGCTGCAATAATGAAAGGGCCAAGGCAGTGACATCTCCGGCCCATCCCCTGTTCGGATATCATCCAGCAAGCCAACGCCTTAAATAAAGAAATCGTTTCTAAGATCTACAGAGATACTTGCAGGAACGCCTCAGCATGTGAGAGTCTAAAAGTGGCAGGCTAAAACCCAGAACCTCAAGCCATGGCTGATACCAGATGAGAGACTCCCCCTTGGGCACACAGAAGACTGGGCGACTTGGAAGGCACTGAACAGACTGCTCTGGCACCATGAGATGCAGAGCCAACCTTAAGATAGGGAGCCACAAAGTGGACTCCACAACATGCGAGTGTGGAGAAGAGCAAACCACAGACCATCTATTACAATGAAGCCTGAGCCCTGCCACGTGCACAATGGAAGACCTTCTTATAGCAACACCAGAGGCACACCAAGTGGCCAACTACTGGTCAAAGGACATTAAGTGTAATGCCAAATTTAAAAACTTTGTGGGTTTTTTTCTAAATATATTACAACTATACCCTCAGTTTACTTCTGATAAAAAAATAAATCTGTCTAGATTTGTCTTGGTAAAGATTTATTTTTATTTATGTAACCCAAATAAGGACTGCAGTAGATACTCAAACATTGTTGATCAGTTATGACACAAACCCTGAATATCTATTTTCCCAGTAAGATTTCACTTTATCCATTCATTCTTACCTTTTCAAATTTACTGTTCCATTGTATACCATCCTCTCTGATAGAGAAGCCTTGAATTGGAGAAATTTTCCCCACTTTGTTTTTAATGAAGGATTTATTGGGAAAAATCATCCAGTTGATGATGTCATACCCTTCTGGGGACAATTTCCCATTCTCAAAGAGGACCTCGTGCCCAGCGCCATTATTAAAGTGAATGTTCCTAAGGAAGGCATGGAGCTAAATTCAGAGGGAATAACAGAGCATTATAAAATGAAGCCCGGTTTCTAAGTGTGGTCACTGTGCTTATGCCAAATAAAATATGGTAGAGGCTCATGTATTCTCAGTACTGGCAGCTGCCCTAACTGTATAGAAGTCATGTGGCTTGGCGGTAACTAGTGGTTGGCATCTCCTCCAACTTCCTAATGGTCTAAACATCTGTAGTTTCTGAAGAGGAAAACAGTGGAGAATGGGAGTGGTTCTGGGTGGAAGCTAAGTAAAACTACTATAATTCTATCTTTCAATTCTGAGCTAAGTCAGATAAGTTAGGATAGTGGTGTCATCGCCATACAAGTTAAAGAGGAGGAAAATGTGAAATCTATGATGTAAAGTTGTTCCTCCACATTTGCTGGAATTAAGGGAGCAGGGCTCCTGAGAAAGTGGAAATAACATGAATTAAAAACCACTATGTTTTTGTGTTGTCGAAGGCTTTCATGGCTGGAATCACTGGGTTGCTATGAATTTCTGAGCTGTATGGGCATCCTCTCCTGAGTTTTCTGAGCTGTATGACCATGTTCCAGAAGCATTCTCTCCTGATGTTTCACCTGCATCTATGGCAGGCATCCTCAGATGTTGTGAGGTCTGTTGGAAACTAGGCTAGTGGAGTTTATATATCTGTGGAATGTCCAGAGTGGGAGAAAGAATTCTTGTCTGTTCGTGGCAGGTGTAAATGTTGGCCACCTTTATTAGCACTGAATAGTCTTCCAGCTTCAAAGCCTGGCTGCTTCCTGCCTGGAGGAATCCTTTGTTGGGAGGTGTTGGCTCACCATGAAAACAGGGGAAGTCCAGAGAGGAAACAATCAGGGCCATGTAACACTTTCCAACAAAGGATTTCACCAGGCAGGAAGCAGCCAGGTTTTGAAGCTACAAGTCTATTCAATGCTAATCAAGATGGCCAATTGCAACATTCACACTTGCCTCCAACAGACAAGAGTTCTTTCTCCCACCCTGGACATTCCAGATATATAAATTCCACTTGCCTAGTTTCCAACAGACCTCACAACCTCTGAGGATGCCTGCCATAGATGTGGGCAAAACATCCGGAGAAAATGCTTTTGGAACATGGCCATCCAGCCCGGAAAACTCACAGCAACCCACTATTTTGCAATTACAGGGTTAAAAAGCAAAGTAATAACACTTCAGCCTGCACGTTGTGATCATGAAGGCAATACATAACATATAACCATACAGGATTTTATGTAAATTATATGTCTTCCAATACTGTTAATTACTAAATTAATATAGAAACTCAGAACTGTGATGATTTTACCTTCCATGGTTGAACCTTCAGATTCATAAATGTGTCCCTATTCAGCATTTCTCTCTTCTTTGCCAACTGTAAAGCGTGTGCTATAGTATACACAGCATTGTAGATGCTATAGCTCTCCCCTGTAAGGTCTTTTTCCAGAATATATCCAGGGAGCCTTCCCAGATTTTCTTCACCTGTACATGTTTTACAGTTTTTACAGTATTGGTAGTATTCATTAGGTATACGGCAATGGAATGCATCTTGCCAGAAGACAGAAAGAAAAGTCATCATTGATTTGTCAGGTTTCATGGTCTGGATAAAATCCTGGAATGCTGGTACTGCTTTGGTATGGACAAAGAAAGAGAAGGAACCGTGGAACGTTTTTGTAGGACATCCATTGCTACTAGCTGTATTGGAAAAATCCCACTGTGGTGGCATGACCCACACTTTTCCTATATGAGCGTTTCTCCTAAATTCATAAATTTCTAAGATTATTGTTAAAACATGCAGCGATTGAGAAGTCCCACTGACAATAATCACATTGGTTTCAACTGAGTAAAGTAAGGAATCCAACTTGAAAAATACATTTTTAGGGAGAAGCCATGAGTGACGATAGTTCATTGCCTGAACACTTTCTGTGAAAGCAACACAAATGCCATTCTGGGCCAGCCGAGGTGTCATGGTTTTAACAAAATTTTCCCCCTCATCATCATCTGAAACTATGAAGCCAATCCACGTCCACCTGAAATGTCGGAGTAAATGGATGATCCCCATGTAATAGATAATTTCTCTTGGTGCCATCCAGTACAAAGAAGTGGAATGAGTTTTCTCACTTTGATGTGCTGTATAAGTGAGCTAAGAGGGAAGACCCAGCAGATTAGAGACCATGACAATTTTTTTTCTAGTTGGTGCCTTATCTAAATGTTGCAAGTAGGTAAGTCAGTAAACTTTATTGCAGTCGAAGACCAGATCATAACAGGGGGACCCAGTCCTGCACATCTATGTCAAACCCAAGGGGTTATATGCTTCAAACTTCAACAAATTTTAAAATCTAGGCTAAAAGCCACATACAAGTAGTTATTAAAACCCAACTCAACCCACAAGATCATCCAAAGGCAGTCTAAAGGGAGGTAGTGGGGATGACACGGGAGGAGGCGGGGAGGGAATATCCAACACTATAAATATCAGTCTAAATGTTGCAATATTTATTCCATTTTAGTTTTAGTTTTTTTAGATGCCAACAGCAAAAAAGTAGTTTGGAAATGGCTGTCATCAAATGGACTTTAGTTTGGGCATCTTTAACATAATTTATCTGAAATTAATTAGGAAAGATTAGCTCAGATTACCTTGAAAATGCTTCAATATATGCACACATACCTGAGGAATCTTGTAGGTGCTCAAGAGGGTGGCCATGTGTGTGGAGGTTTCTACAGAGAGCCCACCAATGACAGATAACACATCCTTTCCCCACTCACACATGTAGTTAGGGGCACGTATTTGTTGCGTGAATAACAGATCCAGAATTGTCTCAAATGTGCTCCCTAAATCAAAAAGATTATCGTAGATATGCAGCCCCAGAGTGAGATTGGGCAAAAGTTTAGGGTTTTTGTTGATCTCATGGATAGCAAACATCAAGGAGAAGACATGTTGATAATTTTTCAGCGCTACACTGCAACAAGAGTGACAATGGTTGTTAGAAAATTATATTACAGATAGTATTATCTCTTTCATATTTATTTCTCATGTCAGGGCAGCCAGTCAAATATATTACATTTCTAACAGAACAAAGCAAACAAACAGACAAAATACAAAATGTGTGAGTTTGGTAGTTGATTAAATGTCCTTTGACCAGTATCTGGCCATTTGGAGTGCCTCTGGTGTTGCTGCAAGAAGGTCCTCCATTGTGCATGTGGCAGGGCTCAGGGTGCATTGCAGCAGGTGGTCAGTGGTTTGCTCTTCTCCGCACTCGCATGTCGTGGATTCCACTTTGTAGCCCCATTTCTGAAGGTTGGCTCTGCATCTCGTGGTGCCAGAGCGCAGTCTGTTCAGCGCCTTCCAAGTCGCCCAGTCCTCTGTGTGCCCAGGGGGAGTCTCTCATTTGGTATCAGCCATTGGTTGAGGTTCTGGGTTTGAGCCTGCCACTTTTGGACTCTCGCTTGCTGAGGTGTTCCAGCGAGTGTCTCTGTAGATCTTAGAAAACTATCTCTTTCATATACAACTGGTTCAAAATGTCTTTTGAAGTCTTGGAAGAAAGCAAGATATGATAACCACCCTCAAGAAACGTGAATATATTTTTCAGACTAACCATGCTTGGACCACTCCTACAAAATATCCCCCCCAAATGCCCCTTAAATATACCATGTTTAAGATTCTTTTGCAGCTACTTATGAGATAACAAAAGGAAGCACAAAGAAGCAATGATTTGTTCTACAAGATTTTAACACAGTTCAAGTAGGCAAGGAGACAAATTATTATTATTATTATTGTTATTATTATTATTATTATTATTGCTTTATTTATATCTCGCCTTTCTCCCCATGGGGACTTATATAGAAATAGGTGGTATCCTTTAGCCTTTTTTGAAGTAGCATGACATGGAAAGACATGGGTCATCACTTCATAAGGTAATCCATTCCTTCATCCTAGCAAATGAATAGAAATGGACCATGTGTATACCTACAAAAGGGACATGCAACCTTGTAAAGCTGGAAGTGATGTTTGGCTTAGGCACTGACATAGAAATCTAAGTGGAACCCCCGAGATATGATGTGCAAAATTCATATCATCACCTACCAAATAACTTTACTTCTATTAAAAACAAAGAACATACCTATAAACACCATGTTTCCTATTTGGAACGACTTCAAAATTGGTCCAGAAAGTTGAAGGATGTATTAAAGAAAAGATCCCACCAAAGATAGCTCCTCCTGGCCTATATACATTGTCTTGGATTTTACTGTTAAAAGTATATTTTTCATTCATATCTTGAGACACAAGAGGAGGAAAAGAAAGTAAAAAAATTAACATCCACATGACTATGAATACATGTTCACGTTTGAACACCTGCATTCCTAGCCACCCTCTGTGTGCTCCAAAAACAAACAGATTTGGGGACGGTATACATAGAATGCTGGTAAACCAAAGTGAATAGGAATGGTTGAATTTCTAAGCAGCACAAGCTGAATTCTTTCATATTGTGAGTGAGCTCAGAATTTAAGTTGGTGATGGTTGAAATCTGGATATTGTTGTTGTTATTGCTGACGCTAATAAGAGTGATTTCCATAATGACAGGGTAGATAAATGCATTACTCTTTCTGATTATAGATTTTCTGTGCAAAATGAAATACATGTTTGTCAGGTTCTTTTCAGTAAATTGATAACTGGCAAAAGTTTGTTCATATTGCATCACTCAGAGTATCTACCAAGCACCAGATGGATTTTAGTGGAAACATTTTCAATCGCTACATCCAAGTTAATGCAGCACTAAATATATGATTCATTAACAAAGTAATACATAAAACAGCTCCCTTTTACTGGGTTGCTGTAAGTTTTCTGGGCTGTATGGCCATGTTCCAGAAGCATTCTCCCCTGACATTTCACCCATATCTATGGTAGGCATCCTCAGAGGTCGTGTAGTCACAACCTCTGAGGATGCCTGCCATAGATGTGGGCAAAACATCAGTAGAGAATGCTTCTGGAACATGGCCATACAGCCCAGAAAATTCACAGCAATACAATGATTCCAGCCATGAAAGCCTTCAACAACACAACTCCCTTTTAATTTGCAGTTCTGGTGTTTCACACTTTAATAAAGTTCCTTATTTGTCAGCTTCAGAGTACGCAATGTTTTTTTCTTCCAAGAATGTCCAGTAATGCTGTTCGTATTTCCTTGTTCCTGAAGCTGTAGATTAGAGGGTTCAGGAAAGGAGTGATGATGGTGTACAATATAGAGATCAGGCGATCCTTTCCCGTGGAGTGACTGGAGGAGGGACGCATGTATGTAAAGATGGCAGTACTGTAGAAGATGCTAACTACAGTCAGGTGGGAGGCGCACGTGGAGAATGTTTTGATTCTAGTCTGAACTGAATGGATTCTGAGCACAGCTGAGACAATGAGGAAATAAGAGAGGACAATCAAGATGAGAGTTGTTATCATGATGCTTCCAGAGATAATGAAGGTCCCCATTTCAGCAAGGAAAGTATCAGAGCATGAAAGATGCAGGACAGGTGGGATGTCACAAAAGAAGTGTGCAATTTTATTGGAACTGCAGAAGTTCTGGGAGAAGACAAAGGCTGTATTGACCATGGCATTGAGATTTCCAATAATCCATGAAGCTGCTAGAAGCCACTTGCATGTAGGTTGGCTCATAAGCATAGTATAGTGCAATGGATGGCAAATGGCAGCATAGCGATCATATGCCATGGCAGAGAGTAGGGCGCCTTCTGTGGCAGCAGTGGTTAGAAAGGAATACATTTGGACCATACAGCCAGCAAAGGAGATGGTCTTATCCCCCGATGAGAGATCCCATAACATCTTTGGCATGGTGGTGGTGATATAACAGATTTCAGCAAAGGAGAGATTGTTCAACAAGAAGTACATGGGAGTGTGGAGATGCTGGTCAATTTGGATCAAAAGAATGATAGCTAGGTTCCCTGCTACTGTGAATAAGTAGATCAACAAACCAATAACAAAGAGCAAGATCTTGACTGTAGGATCATCTGACAGTCCCATCAGGATGAATTCTTTCAGAGTTGTTTGATTCTTTCTTTCCATACTGCTGTTTATTTTACTTCTGAAGGAACCAGGACTTCTTATTGTTGCACGGATTGCTGTATGTTTAAAAAAAAAACAAAACAAAGACTATAACAAATACTGTTTTGGCAACAATTATGTGAAAACTAAAAACCCCTCCAACAAAGGAAAACATCTCTGAAAGTCCCAGATTTTGTTCTTGTTCCAGTTTTAATTTGGAGAGCCACATGAGGGTTTATCTATCTGGAAATATTTCCTGGGAACTCCAGACATTATCAATATTTTTTCATTCCTACTTCCCTAGTCAGTTTCAATCAACCCAGTATTTTCTGACTTGACATTTATCTTTTCTTGGTCGTCTGTTTGTATTATTTTGGAGAAGGCTAAATCCCCTTGCACACATATAGTTTTATTTGGACTAGATGTATACTGTATGTTGTTTTTATGTTGTCTGTTTTGATAAGACCAATTGGCTGATCAATAAAATAGTTTTGAGAAGTTTCCAAGAAGTTTCCCTTCCATACCCTAAAATGGTTGTCATAAATAAATACAGAGATTGTTTCTGAAATGTTTCATGAGTTCAGATATGACACATGAGCAGAGAAAGATAGGGTATATTAGAAAGGGAAAGTGAAGGAAACATGGGATCTTAAAGAGAGAGGTTGGATGCAGACTTAGGGCCCTTCCACACAGCCCTGTATCCCAGAATATCAAGGCAGAAAATCCCACATTATCTGAGTGTGGACTCAGATAACCCAGTTCAAAGCAGATATTGTGGGATTTTCTGCCTTGATATTCTGGATATTGGGCTGTGTGGAAGGGCTCCTAGGTTCCTAGGTCTGCATCCAAATGCAGGTAAAATAAAAATTTAAAAAACCCCAGAAGCTTTCAATTCTTCCCTCCTCAAGGATGAGCTCCTTATCTCTGATATAAGTAATCATATAGTGATGACTGTCACAGATTTGTGCTTCAGAAAAATGCCATTGTAAAGGGGAAAAAAAAAATCTGTTAATGATACCTTGATAAAGGTCAGCACAGATACATTTGTTCCTTCAAGCATCTTCCTCCCTATAAAGATTTTTCCAAAAATCATTCAGTTTTGTATTGTGTGCCATACATAGAGAACTGCAGTATAAAAAAGAACAAATTAATAAATCAGCAGTAATTTGAAACAGCTATGAATTTAGACAAGCACGAAGAAACTGTTTGAATACTAGCCAAAACTTCTTTTTGAACTAACTAGATATGGCATCAACTGTCCCTTTTAGCATGTTCCTATTGACGTATGGTGACCCCATGAATTTTGTAGATTTTTCTTAGGCAAGGAATACTTAGAGGTGGTTTTGCCAGTTTTTTATTATCAAAACACGCGGAAGCCTAGCTTCTATGATGAGATGGGATTGGGTGCCTTTAGGCTATTTATTTATGCCATTCAAAACATATGTCACCTCAGTGCAAAAGGCAATGTTAAACATAACATTAATCAAAACAAATTCAATTGAAAAAATGTGCAGCTAATCACAAATGCAAGAATGTCACTTTTAAAAAAACAAATAGATAAAATGAATATTTCATGCCGGAGTGCTTACAGACACACATTGCATGGATTGAATCCACAGCAGCAATAGAAGGCAGATTTCAAATGCTGGAGATCTTGATGTCTGCTGTCTTCTTCACTGGTAAAAAGGTCCTTTGTTGTCTGGAAGACTCCTTCTCTTATCAAACATCAAGTCCAAATGTTTAAGATTTCTCCTACAGAGATGCCTTCCTTTCAAAGCAACACCAAAAGCCACTCTGGTTGTAAGATTTTTTAATAATTTTTGGTGCCTCCTTATTTGATCGCCTCTCGTTTTTTTCTGGTTGAAAAACTATATAGCAAGGTGCTACCGAGATATTAAGATTCTTTCAAATCTGTTTCCCTTTGGGATCTTCAGAATTAGGCCTTTGAGGAATGAATCTAGTGTACTCATTAACAATGATGACAAGAACAAAAACACCAACATGGCTTAAGTTGTAGGAAGCATATTACTATTTGTGCAAACTAGTTTAAGAAATCATTTTAATTGCATACAGATTCATTGAGTAGATAGCAAAATCCTTCCATGTCAGGCCCCTTCCACACAGCTGAATAAAGCCCCACACTTTCTGCTTTGAACTGGAATATATGGCAGTGTGGACTCAGATAACCCAGTTCAAAGCAGATATTGTGAGATTTTCTTCCTTGATATTCTGGGATATAGGGCTGTGTGGAAGGGCCCTCAGATTGTAGGACCAACGTTTCCAGACAATAACTTTTCCAGAGTCAGTTGATCCCATCAACCAGCAAAAGTACCATAAAATCCATATTACCAGTTATCCGAGGTGGACAAAGAAGATGGCATACTACTGAATAATCCCCCTTCTCTCACCACTCTCATGTAAGCTCATTGTCCTGACTCAGCCTTTCAACACATTCAGCTATTTCTGAATTAAATCTTTCTTGTGAATTCTTCACATTCATCCATGACTGTTCTTCTGCAACCCTGTTTATATACTCATAATTTCAGTGGATGATCATTATCTATATTTAAGCACAATGGCTATGGAGAACAAGATAAATAGAATCAACTTCTGTTATTCTATGTTTCAAACAATTTAGTACTTGAAGCAAGGATCAGAGAAACAACAGAAAAATGTATTTTCCATTAAATTGATAAATTTTATAAGTCATATCAAATCCAAATTTCATAATTATCTGTTCGTCTTCAGAACTCTCTTAAGTGCCCCCTGGACTTTTTTGTTCCTGAAGCTATAGATCAGGGGATTTTGCATTGGAGTAATGATGGCATAAAACACAGAAACTTGGTGGTCCTCTTCTATAGAATGAACAGAAGATGGGCGTATGTAAGTGTAAATGTAAGTGTAAATGACAGTGACAAAGAAGATGCTCACCACAGGTGGAGAAAGCCTTCATCCTGGAAGTGGGGACTCATATTATCAAGTTTAATGTAGAAAACCTGGGATCAGATCCTGGAATATAGGGCCTACCTGGAAGGGCCCCTAATTCATCACTCAAATACTACACCATACTGACTTTGACCTGGCATTGGACTGAAGCCTATTTCCTACAGAATATTTGTTAGAAATGTCTTGTTCGTTTTTTTAAAATCATGGAAGCTGTCTCTGATAGGTATCAGACAATTCTGAGCCATTACAATGATAAAGGAAATACAGGGATAATACAAAAAGCTCTCAAATTTCTTTTATTTTTTATTTTATTTTAGAATATTGACATTTTGGAGAGTATTCAAAGTATATTACATGCATGACGAAATTAATGACAGTAAATCCTCACCAATATTAATGGGAGACAGCACAACACATTGTTTACTACTATCCTGAAAGCAAAGGGACATAAATATGATTAATTATGGCTGGAGCAAAAACTACTAATAGCAAAATACTTTTAAAATTAAATACTATTATTTAAACATTTGAAACATAACATGGATGTCTTATCTCAGCATCTATTCCCAGACATATACATCTACAACCCTTACTTACATAGCATCATAAAAATACAGGGCTGTCAATTCTATTACTTCTACATTATTCTAATTCTACATTATTCTTTCTTGGGTGCTTGGTGGTTTAAATTCACCACTGCTTTTACACATGAAACTAATACAGGCAGTTTCTGCATTACAAACAAGTTAAGTTCTGTAGGTTTGTTTTTAGGTTAACACACCCCTGTGGAGTTTATTTTGCTGTTTGTGCCCTGTTCAGAAGATTTCACTTCATTTTCTGTCCCTGTGAGAACTGGATTTTGAAAAAAAAAAGTTTTGTTGTGGAAACAAGGATGGTGATAAAGCTTTAGTTCAGACACCTTTTCTCCTTGATAACTTTTTCAGGAGTGAATTTTCCTAAGAGTAGATTTCTTTATTTCCTGTTGCTTTTTTGCATTTCTTAATGGTGAATTGTTAGTAAGTCGGATGTTTGTAACTCAGAGATTGCCTATATATCTTCCTTCAATTCACCTTTTGCTAATCTTAATTTATAGGTTAACTTTTCCAATCACCTATATCCTTTTTAACCAATTATTTATTGTCAGATCCTCTAGTCCAGTGGTTCTCAAACTGTGGGTCCCCAGATGTTTTGGCCTTCAGCTCCCAGAAATCCTAACAGCTGGTAAACTGGCTGGGATTTCTGGGTGTTGTAGGCCAAAACACCTGAGGACCCACAGGTTGAGAACCACTGCTTTAGTCTTTTCTAGGTTTTCACTATTTTGAATCTTGCAGCACATAACAGGAGCTCAGATCCTTATTCTCACTTTCAAATACTGAAATTATTACTAGTGCTCCCCTGAAGTGTATTGCTTACCCCACTATTTGTCTTATTCATGATAGGACTTCATCTCAGAATTTGTGATGATTGCAGAACCTTGTTAGCAATTAAATTCACTCACAACTAAGTTTTGGAAATTTCTTTAATGGTAGCTTACTACTATACAGCAAAACTATAAATGAAGAAAACATGGGCATGTTCTCAGGCCAATACCCCAAATCTCAATCTCTTCAACTCCCCAAAAATTCTCTGTACAGCCCCCAAGTCTTCCAGTCTAAGCCAGCTCTTCTTATCAGGCTCTTTTCTGCACCAGGTCACAGATGTTTTCATTCTGTTTTCAACACTCAATTTTGGCTGTGAGCTCAGAGCATGGAGGTGTCTTGAACACACCAGGTACAAGTCCATGGCATATCTCTGTACTTTTGGAAATTTTAGCCACATGATAGGCATCATCCATCCTCCTGAAGGCACAATTGAGTCTGTTATTGTGGATTGACTATGAACCTGAAAGAACTCCCTTCTCTCACTTTTCATCCTTCACTGGACTTTAAAGCATAGGAGAACATAGATGTTTTTTAGATACTGGGGCATTTCTTGGAATGGGAGGCTAGCATGCATCTTCTATATATGTGTTTAAGAATAAAAATTGCCTACAAATTTCTTTGGTTTGATCAATAATGATTACACAGGATTCAAGCATAAAAGTGTTTCTTACTAGCATTTAGTGTGGAATGCCCTTCCCACGGACATTAGATCGGCTCCATCGCTAATGGTATTTTGGAGAAAAGTGAAAACCTGGTTATTTGAACAGGCGTTTGAATAGGCAGTGCAATGAATATAGGAACGGAACAACGGATGACAAGTTTGGATCATGTTTTTAGTTATGAGACGCCAGTGAGTGGTTATTGTCATTAATTGATTAGTCTGTTATTGTGTTAATTGTTTTTAAATATCTTGCTGTTGTTGCATTGCTGCTAGTGTTGTTAACCTCTGTGAGTCGCCTAAGGGCTGAGACCAGCGATATACAAATAAAGTAAATAAATAAATAATAAATAATACAGCAAACCAGGTTTTCCAGTTTTACTTATCCTTCTTGTGGGGCGGGAGTTGGGAATCCAATAGTCATTTCAACCTTGGAAATTGTTATTTTCCTTGCATTACTTTCAGGAATACTCTTTGTACATCCTTGTTCCTCAAGCTATATATGATTGGATTAAGCATAGGTGTTAGTATTGCATAGAACACAGACGAGATTTGGTCTTGTGCCTGAGAGTAACTGGAGTTTGGACGTATGTATGTGAAGATGATGGTCCCATAATAAATGCTCACAACAATAAGGTGAGAAGCACAAGTGGAGAATGCTTTCAGACGCCCTTCTTTTGTGCGGATCATAAGGATAGCTACAACTATGTAGACATAAGACACCAGGATAGCCAGAAATGGACCCATGATCACACTTCCACCCACTACAAAAGTAACAATTTGGTTGAACAGTGTGTTAGAACAGGAGAGTTGGAACAGAGGTGGGACGTCACAGAAAAAGTGCTGAATGACATTATCCCGACAAAAAGACAGATGAGACATCAAGCCAGTATGCACTCCTGAGTTAGACAAGCCAAGAATCCAAGCAGTTGCTGCAAGACAAACACACACTTTTGGGCGCATCAGCACATTATAGTGCAGTGGGTGACAAATAGCTGCATATCGGTCATATGCCATGAAACCTAGTAGGAGGCACTCAATCCCACCAAAGGAGATGAAGAAATACATTTGGGTGAAGCAGCCTGCTAGGGAAATTGTCTTGTCTTGGGAAAGGTAACTCAGGAGCATCTTGGGAACAGTAGAAGTTGTGTAACCAATATCCACCACGGAGAGATTGAAAAGGAAAAAATACATGGGATTGTGAAACCTTTTGTCAAAGCTGATCATTAGCAGGATAAGAATATTCCCAATCAAGACTGCTAAATAAATGACAAGAAAGAGACCAAAGAGAAAGAATTGTGCTACTGGGCTGCTGGAGAGTCCTAGGAGTATAAATTCAGTGACAGTTGTTTCATTGACATTCACCATCTCATGTTGGGGCTCTACCTGTAAGGAAATGTTATTAATTTTTAGCAATCTTTTTTTTAAATAGTTGACTATAATGCAGAACAAATTAAAACCCTGAGAAACATAACAGGCCATGACATTAAACAAGAACCCAATGGCGTCTGAAACATCCCCCTCCCCCACCAAATGAAGATACAGTATCACAATTACCACTAAGTCTCATATAAAGTAGACACTTTAGAAGGGTACCACAGCTGTTGATATGGTTTTGCATTCTATTAGGGACTTTGAGCATGGCTTGGGTGTTGGAGTAGGCCATGGAAGGGTATTTTGTAGGAAGTCACGTGCACATAGGAAGAGAATGGTAAACCTCCTCTGAAGAAATCTTGTCAAGAAAATCTTGTGACATCTTTTCCTTAGGGTCATTGTAAATCTGAAATGACTTTAAGGCAAGCAACCAAAGCAGTGCTTCTCATGTACATATGTATATTTTTAGGGGTGCTGAGTAGGTTGATATTCCCTTCCTCCCTTCATAATTCCTAAGATATCCTTATCATGCTGAACAACATTCTTGCATGGCAATTTACTGCTTTTGGACAGAGCAGGTAGAATCAGAGAAGCATTTTGCAGTAGCCAGATTCAAAATGATCATACCAGCAAAGATTTCTTTCAGTGTCTCTCAGGGGTCTTTCCTCTGCTGTAATAATTTTACATTCAGTTTTGGGCATGTGGTCAAATGCTTTTATGATCCTGCTTGCTCTCCATGAGTCAGGGAATTGTGATGTTAGTGGGGAAGGACGATAGGCTGTTTAATACGTCATGGTAATACATGAATTAGCCTAGCCTAGGTTAGACCATCTTAATAGTTCTCCAACCAATTCAGTGGATTTGAGACCCAGAAGGTATATTATGATAAAGTAAATGCAGAGGTACATTATGATAAAGTAAGGTACATTATGATAAAGTAAATGCAGAAAATTCTTCTATATGCAGATCAACATACTATCTATCATAGAAAATCAGAGTTGAAATGTGACCTGCTGAATGGACCATAGGAACATACAGCCTTGTCACATGTGCTGTTGGAATTGCCCTGGATCACCGTGGATAGCATCAATCTTGGCAAAATCCACCTAGGGGGCATGGGGACCTGTCATAGAATCATAGAGTTGGAAGAGACCTTGTGGGTCATCCAGTCCAGTCCCCTGCCAAGAAGCAGGAAAATCACATGTCGTCCCATGCCCTGCCTTCCCCTCTACCTCATCAGATAGGCAGAAGCCCCTTTAAGCTGGCTCGACCCTTCTTTCCCAATGGATATGGGGATTTTTTCGGTGATGGAAAGGTATTTGCTCCAGTTCAGCCAGAGCCACCTCGGAAGTATTTCTCTGGGGTGTGATGGGAGCCATTGGGCTTCATGGCTGAACTAAAAAAAAACTGTTGCTGCTACCAAAAAAAGTAAATGTGAAGAGGTAGTAGCAGTAGTGAAGCCACGTATCAAATGGGAAACAAACACTGTTACTATGGAGTCTATAAAATCCTGTATAGGCAGCCCCAAGTTATAAACAATATAGGTTCTGTAGGTTTGTTATTAAGTTGAATTTGTATGTAAGTCAGAACAGGTACATTTTACAAGTGTAATGCCACACAGACACACATACTGTGGCATTGGTTTTGCTGCCAGTCCCCTGTTCAGAAGATTTTACCTCACTTTCTGTCCTTGTGATCATTGGATTTTGAAAAAAAAATGACTTGTTTTGGAAACAAGGATTGGTGAGAAAGCTTCAGTGGAGACACCTTTTCCCCATGATAACTCTTTCAGGAGTGAATTTCCCTCCCTAGGAGTAGATTTCTCTCACTTTCTGTTATCTCACCTCTATTCTTAACTAGGAATCATTTGTAAGTGAAATGTTTGTAATTGTTTGTAACTTGGAGATTGCCTTTACTTATTTTGAAAGTGCAGGATTTATAGTAAAGTTTCTGAGCAAAACAAGCATCATACCAAAGATTGCCCTAGCTATCTCAGGAAGACAGATTGTTGGGTACTAGGATGAGAATTACACTGCAGAATCTCTATTCTGTCCTCCATTGATTCCAGTATCTGCTATCCAGTAGAAAGTATTGGGGACTTTCATGGTCCATATAAATTTCTTGGGAGGAGAGCAATGGCCAATCTTGATAAAATAGTGAAGAGTAGAGACATCACACTCGCAACAAAGATCCGCATAGTTAAAGCAATGGCATTCCCCGTAGTCACCTACGGATGTGAGAGCTGGATGATAGGGAAGGCTGAGCGAAGGAAGATAGATGCTTTTGTACTGTGGTGTTGGAGGAAAGTTCTGAGAGTGCCTTGGACCGCAAGAAGATCCAACCAGTCCAGAAATAAAGCCTGACTGCTCACTGGAGGGAAGAATAGTAGAGGCCAAGATGAAGTACTTTGGCCACATCATGAGAAGAAAGGAAAGCTTAGAGAAGAGTATGACGCTGGAGAAAAAGGAAGGGAAAAGGAAGAGGGGCCGACAAGGGGCAAGATGGATGAATGGTATCCTTGAAGTGACTGGATTGACCTTGAAGGAGCTGGGGATGGTGATGACCGACAGGGAGGTCTGGCGTGGACTGGTCCATGAAGTCACGAAGAGTTGAAAATGACTGAACGAATGAACAACATAAATTTCCTAAACTAGAGGTTTTGCGGGGATATGAAATTGAAAGAATCACACATGTGAAGCGTTCAGAACTGCCCAATCAGATTCCAGTTATTATATATTACTGAATTATATCATTAACCGATCTACTGCTATATTTAGGCATATTGCCTCTGATATTACAGGGGAGAGATAGCCATTTCGACAGAGAACCATTGATGAAGATCCATCTCCATGAATTTGCTTTAGTTCCTTTCTACAGATAATTACATTCAGTGGAATTGAATTCTATAGCATTAACAATGTACTTGTGAAAAATTAGGAAACAATTATAACTATACAATAACCATTTCATAATATCTTTCTTACCTGTCTAGTAGTCGTGCGCTTTTTGTTTCACTTCAGGCAACGATCCATTCTTCTCATTCTGGAAAAAATCTTGATACCCTAGAATGTTTTTAAATCATCCATACCAACCTGTTGGATCTCTGTTTCCCACATCACTAGTATTTCTGGCTAGATATATTGCTGTGAAACATGCTCAGGGGAATTACATGACTCATACAATTACTTTTTACGGTGGGGATTTCTTTTTGTAAACTCTTGATTTTCCCTTTAATGCCTTTAAGTACAAACTTTCCATGGACTCAATTCCCAGTTTGGATTTTCTCTATAGATTTCAGATGTGACTTTTGAACATAAATGCAAGAGTGCAACATCTATATCTGCTAATGCACTCCTGCTTGGGGGCCATGTAGCCCATGTGCAAATGTACAGAGCATGGGCTACATGGCCCCCAAGGCACCCACAGGGACTATTTTTTCCTGTCACTTTTGCCTATCATTTCATATTGTTAAAAATACCTCAGGGAGCTAAAACTTTGGTGGAAATGCTTCCTCTCTCTAGAATGTTTTGGGGGCATTTGGTGGCAAAGGAAAATGTTTTTTTGGCACTGCTCTCCAAAATCTCCTAAGTGGGTTAATAGAGCTTTTATGTAAAACTGCAGCTCTCTGGATTCCATAGTGTTGGTCTCCATTTTCTTATCTGAAATATCAGGATTTGTTCCGGTGTGCCAGTTCCAATGTTTCCCAATCAAGACACACAATGATAAGGGTAGAATCAGAGGTTAATTGCTACAGTTAGCCAAGGAAGAATGGCATGGGAATTTTCTGGATTTGACATGCTTTCCATTTACAGACAGCAGTATTTTATGGATCTTGGAGAATAACAGACATTAATTAATAATAATAATAATAATAATAATAATAATAATAATTATTATTATTATTATTATTATTATTATTTTATTTCTATCCCACCACCATCTCCCAAAAGGTGGCTTATAAAATAGCACAACAAAAGTGCAGAACAGAACACATAAAATATAACAAAATTTGCAAAAATATATATCAATAACCAGACCAATTAACATAAAAGAATGACTAACAAAATTAACAAAAATAACTCTATTAAAGTAAGAAGTAACCAATAAAACACAACAATAGATTATAGTCCAAGCAAGTATCACCCAGCATCTCCATCTGGGTATGATGCCCCAGGAAGGAGCAGAGCCACTGCAAAGCAATGCCCCCAAGACCCATTCCGAAGAGCTGGCCCAGAAGGATTCCATGGTTGATGGTATCAAAAGCCACTGAGAGATCCAAGAGAACCAACAGGGACATATTTCTCCTGTCTAGCTCTAGGTCATCCACCAAGGGGACCAAAGCTGTCTCTGTTCCATGACCAAGCTTAAAACCAGATTGTGATGGATCAAGATAATTGGTTTCATCCAAGAATCCCTGCAGTTGAGAAGCCACCACTTGCTCTAGATCCTTGCCCAAAAAGGAAAGATTGGAAATGGTCTGCTAGTTATTTAGTACTGAGAAGTCCAGGGATGACTTCTTCAGAATTGGCTTTACTATTGCCTTTTTTAGGCTAGATGGCATTTGTCCCTGCTCCAACGAGGTATTTATAATCCTTGTGAACCACTCGGCTAATCCCCCGCTAGCGGGTTTTATAAGCCAGAAAGGGCAAGGGTCTAGAGCACATGTGGTTGCTTTAACAGCTTCAAAAATCTTGTCCACATCATCAGGCTGAGCATGCTGAAACAAATCCATTAAAATAGGACAGACAGGTGCCTCAGGTATATTATCGGTATTCCCTTAAGGCTGGATTCCAAGTTGGAGCATATTTGAATGACTTTATCTGCAAAATGATGGGTGAACTCGCCACATCAAATTGTCAAATGGTCAGGAAACTCCCCCTGAAGATCAGGGTGAAGGAATCCCTGGACCACCCGAAAAAGCTCTGCTGGTCTATTCATTGCAGATGCAATGCGGGCAGTCAAGAAAGACTTCTTGGCTGCCTTCATTGCCATGGAGTAAGCCCTAAGTGAGGCTCTAGCCCATGCTCCAG